CCCATCCTCTGATCAAATAGCAGATGGACTTACAAAGGCAGTAACAAGATCAAAGTTTCTTGAACTAAGAGACAAGCTCAGTCTTCGATCCTTAGATACTGAACTTGTGGGGGAATGAAAGACTAACTAAGTGTAACTAACTTCTAACAAGTTCCGTATCTTTAGCTAGTTAGTTTTAACTTACCATTCAGTTAGCCTTGAGTCTTGTATATATATTGGTTAACTCAATGCAATTCATTAAGAGATTAATATCTCAGTTTATTCAACATACAACTTCTCTCTGTTTTCACTTTTCTCTCAATCTTCCTTTCTTCTTTCCTTTGTATCTGATACTTTACATGTATAAAGTTCGATGAAGGTAAGATACTGCAGCAAGTATTTCGTGCCTCAAAGTCAATCACGCCTCCCAAGAACTGAAGCGTTGGTGGTCTCTACTCTCTATAGGGCTCGCGTTGTGTATAGTCATTGTCACTACAAGAAGTTTAAAGCGATAAAGCATGTGAATTGCCTCTGCAAAGAAAATTACCTACACGACGCTTGCTGTCTTCGAAGACCGTGCTGTTCATAAGATAAGAATAATGCACTTATTCCTTTAAGGTGGTGGGCCATGCATTGAATCTCTATACAAAGAAACACGAAGCCAACATTTCACTATACCCATCACGTGATTTTTAGCCTCGAAGCCCGTGCTAGAAGTCTTCAATTTAGAACCTATTCAAAGCAAATTGATAAGACAAAACAAGTACTGTAACTTGATGGCGGGACCCACGAGCTTCTAGGTGTGTTTAGTACAGGAGAAATTTTTTGGTGATCGGGAATCATGATTAATGGGAATTCAGTAGAAATTGAGTTTACTTGGAATCTTACGAAAGATGTGTTTGGTTCGCCAAAATATTACCGGGAATACTGGGTAAAAATTACTGATTCCATATTTGGTTTAGAACGAAATATGACTTGGAATATGAGGTTATTTTACAAAAATAACCCCAAACTATTTTTACTTTTGTAATTGATAGATTGGGTCTAGATTTTTATGTGTATTGAGGTATTTTTGTCTCAAAATTTATTGTTATGTTTTTCCTTTACTTGGTATTCTGAATTACCATATTATTTTTGGTAATCTGAATAGTGACTTTTCTTTATAAATCAAATTACCGGTAATCCTTGGATATCCGGGAATCGTAATTTATTCCTTCTACCAAACGTGGTAATTACATTTACCAAAGAAGAATTACCGGTAATCCTCTCCAAAAACTTGAACCAAACACAGACCAAGTCAGAAAGTTACATCCTTGAAATCCGTGGAAAACTGTTGAGATATATAGTCCCACATTGATTAGATAAGCAACTAATGTGACCTTTATAAGGCCTTGGGCACTCCCACCCTTTGAGCTAGCTTTTGGGGTGGTGTATCCCAAGGTTCTTTACATGATATCAGAGCCTCACCGTCACCCGCTTTAAAAAGTGGAATTAAAAATAATAAAAAAAAGCACAAAAAGGTAAACCAAAAATGGGCCTGTGCAATTTCCACGCTTCAAGCCTAAAAAAACTCTTGTGTGAGGGGGCGTGTTGAGATATATAGTCCCACATTGATTATATGGGTAACTAATATGACCTTTATAAAGCCTTAGTCACTCACATCCTTTTAGCTAGCTTTTTGGGTGGTGTATCCTAAGATTCTTTACAAAAGCATATTAAATTGACAGATCAAATGTCCATCATCATCTTGAAGCGCGCGAAGATTTTCATTTTGATATTGGCTAGCTGAAACCTTTTCAATCTCTCGCCTGGAAGTCCAAAGTAAATTGACAGAAAAAATCTCCATCATCACATTGAGGCGCGCGAAGATTTTCATCAAGATAAATATATATATATACATATATATATATTTTTCTTATGTTGTAGGAAAAGACTGGGACCCCACATGTAAGAGGAGAGAGAAAAAAAAGTGGTGAGACTTTTCCATTCATATATATACATATATATATTCAAGACTCACTTTGTCCATTCAATCAATCATCTTCTTTGTGGGCCCGCCATTGTCCAAGCAAAGTGAAGCATTTTATCAAGGCAAACCAAACCAAAATTTGTGGGACCATCTTCATTCAAATTTTCAAAGAAGAATAATATTATCCAGCATCCAGACAAAGACGGAATGAGCTTTCACACTAACCGGTTTCCCAGAGCTCACACGGGTAGGATGACCAATATTTATCAACATATTCAAAGCTACACTTACACGCCAAAGTGTCGAGCGAGACTCACACTATGAGGTTTTATTATCAAAACCTAGTAGTAATATCTCTTCACTAACATATATATATATATGTTTGGTACAAGAGAAATTTTTTACTATCCGGGAATCATAATTAATGGGAATACAGTAGAAATTGAGTTTACTTAAAATTTTACGAAAGAGGTGTTTGGTTCGCCAAAATATTACCGGAAATATTGAGTAAAAATTATTGATCTCATCTTTGGTTTAGAACGAAATATGACTTAGAATATGAGGTTATTTTACAAAAATAACCCCAAACTATTTTTACTTTTGTAATTGATAGATTGGGTCTAGATTTTTATGTATATTGGAGTATTTTTGTCTCAAAATTTATTGTTCTGCTTTCCTTTTACTTGGTATTCTGATTGGTATTCCGAATTACCATATTATTTTTTGTAATCTGAATAGTGACATTTCTTTATAAATTAAATTACCGGTAATCCTTGGATATTTGGGAATTAATTTTTATTCCTTCTACCAAACGTGGTAATTGCATTTACCAAAGAAAGATTACCGGTAATCATCTTCAAATACTTGAAACAAACACCCCCTGAGGTTTTATTATCAAAACCTAGTAGTAATATCTCTTCACTAGCATATATATGTCTCTCTCCAACCACATCATTATAAATTTTATATGATTATAAATTCCATATGAGTTGCTTAATTAATTATGAAGGTCGGGATGGTTCTCACCCCCGGTGTACTATGAAGGCCGGGACGGTTCTCACCCTCGGTAATTATGAAGGTCGGGACGGTTCTCACCCCTGGTAAACAAAGTCCGAGATGTGTTATCCCTCGGCAAAAGTCCTAGATGGCCGACGTCTCATTTAGGCACATTTTTATCGTCATTCACACACTACTATACTAGTTGTTGCAGGATTTAAATTGGAGCAACCGGACGTCAAAGACCCAAGTCACTGGACATTATTTATTGGACGTTCATATCGCCGTGCTTTGTTGTTAAAGAAAGGGATATACATATTTATCATCTATGAAGACTCTCAGTCTCTCTCTCGGAGCACATTATCTTCTCCAGAAGCTTTCATCTACTACATTATTTGTCACTAGCGAGATTTTCTGAATAAAGGAGCATATATATTTATCATCAGGATCTTCATCACCTCTCTCTTGGAACAATTATTCTCTCCAAAAGCTGTCATTTACAACATTATTTTATTATTATCATACGGTCAAGACATCTTTATTTCAGCTGTTAAAATCTCCAGGCTTCTTGACTCCATATGGGCGTTATCTATCATACATTCATATCGCCAACGAGTTTTATTGTTGAAGAAAGAAGTATACATATCTATCATCTATGAAGACTACCAATCTCTTTCTCTCTTGGAACACACTATTCTCTCCAGAAGCTTTTATCCACAACATTATTTGTCACCAGCAAGTTTTATTTCTGAAGAAGGGAGCATACATATCTATCATCAGGATCTCCATCACTCTCTATTTTGAAAGAGAGTGATGCTCTCCGGAAGATCTCATCTACTACTTTATTTATCTCACGAAGCTCAAATCTGCAATCATGTCGACTTTATTTTATCAGATCATCAAGATGGAGTTCAGATTCCAGTTATCAACATCTACAAGCTACTTGATTCAACACGGGCTTGCCAACTTATTCTTACAATTAAAATTGTCACTACTTCAACAACATTTGAAGACCTTCCTCAACAACAAGACGCATCTTCGAAATCAACAAAAGTTCAGCACAATTGCAAGTCATAATAGAAGATTCTCTTGAAGCACTTAAGCATCGCCAACCAGACGGTTGATACTCGATGACAACAAATAAACAACTCGTGAAGGCTGACGTATTATCGATCGGTTACATTGTATCCTACTTGGAACACTGCACACTACAAGCAACCGGCTTAAGCTGCCATACATCTTGGCACCTTTGCTTCGCAAAGCTACAAAGCTGGGGGCTTCTGTTCTGGATAGCCCACTCACATGGGCCCAACCGTTAGGCCCAGCCTAAGAAGCCCTCTTCTAGAAGACATCATAGGATGCCCCCTCTTCCCCATGCACACCAGCTGCCCCTGCACAAGGGCAGGGGTTCAGCATGCCTAACCTGAAAAGGCTAGGCTGGCTAGGTTGACTAGGGCTCTTGCTCTAAATACCCCCTCTCACATTGAGGGATAGGATCCTCTTCTTCTCCATTCAGCTTCATGCGCTGCCACCAGGAGAACAATCCTAGCCATACACACACACTCCCCCCTAAAACACATACATGGAAAACTCCACTAGTACCTTGGTCTCTACCATATACTTCTCCCTCACGGGAGACATCTATGTACCACTATTAGCACAGATGGAAATAAAAAATGTGTTTAATTTTCTCTAATTTAAAATCTTAATCCTCGATTAATCCTAAATCGAATTAACGACGAATCAATCAATTGATTGTAATATCTTTTTAAAAAGAAGAAGAAGAAAACTTCATTTATCTGTATTATACTTGTCAATCTAGCACAAATAAATATTGGAACGTTCATAGTCGTTGTCGTGATTGACTTTGGCAGGTCATAAGTTAAAAATATGACGGATTTGCTTGCGTAAGGAAAATAGGAAATGCCATTTCTCGCTGAGTAATACAAACAATAAAAAACACAAAATCTATCAAAAAAATCTGCAAGTGCGAACGTCATGCATAATGTCACAGACACTATATATACACATTTAACTTCTCATTGAAAAGCCTACAGATAAAAACTGAACATCCCCACCAATCAGTTTAATACTAATTGCCAATATTGTAAGCCGTTATTCTCCGTCGTAACTAACGACAATGACTCGTATGCTGTTGCAGCTGCTACCTCCTTTCTTCATATTCTTCATCCTTCCGGTGCTCTTTTTCTTCTTCCTCAAACCATCTTCTCTGAAGGAGAAGAAGGAGAAAGGTCCTTCACCCACCGTTACACTCCCAAAAGCATACCCACTGATTGGTTCCTACTTAGCCATCAAAGCACAAGGCAAACGCCGTTTGCAATGGTTATCCGATATTGTCCAAATCTCCCCAACCGCCACCTTCACCCTCCGCCGCCACTTGGGCCATCGACAAGTCATCACCGGCAACCCCGCCACCGTACAGCACATTCTCAAGACCCATTTCTCCACTTACGAAAAGGGAAACAGCCTTCGACAAACCCTCTCTGATTTTCTTGGCAACGGAATCTTCAACGCCGACGGGGATAACTGGAAGTTTCAAAGGCAAGTTGCCAGCCACGAATTCAACACAAAGTCTCTGCGGAAATTCGTCGAACATGTGGTGGACGCCGAGCTCTCCGACCGCCTCGTCCCCATTCTCGCTTCAGCGGCAGCAGCCCAAGACCAAACTCTCGATTTCCAAGACATCCTTCAACGTTTCGCGTTCGACAACATCTGCAAGATCGCTTTTGGGTTCGACCCAGAATATCTAGCGCTGTCCGTTGAGCGGAGCAAGTTCGCGCAAGCCTTCGAAGAAGCAACAGAGATCAGCAGCAAACGGTTCCGCGAACCGTTACCCATAATATGGAAAATAAAGAGAAAACTCGACATAGGATCGGAAAAGAGACTGCGAATCGCAGTCTCGGAAGTGCGAGAATTTGCCAAGAACATAGTGAGAGAGAAGAAGCGCGAGCTGAAGGAGAAGGCCTCACTTGAATCTGTTGACATGTTGTCGCGGTTCTTGAGTTCGGGTCACTCCGACGAGGACTTCGTGACGGACATAGTCATAAGCTTCATATTGGCCGGAAAAGACACGACGTCGGCGGCGCTCACGTGGTTTTTCTGGCTGCTGTCGAAGAACCCGCGGGTGGAGAACGAGGTTGTGAAAGAAATCGGAGAAAAATCAGAAGAGCCGGTTTACGATGAAGTGAAGGACATGGTTTACACACACGCTGCGTTGTGTGAGAGCATGAGGCTGTACCCGCCAGTGCCTATAGACACCAAGGAAGCAGTTGTGGACGACGTTTTGCCGGATGGGACGGTGGTGAAGAAGGGGACGATGGTGTCGTATCACGTGTACGCGATGGGGAGGATGGAGAGTGTTTGGGGTAATGATTGGGCTGAGTTTAGGCCTGAGAGGTGGTTAGAGAAGGTTGATTCTGGTAAGTGGAGTTTCGTTGGGAGGGATCCTTACAGCTATCCCGTGTTTCAGGCGGGTCCCAGGATTTGTTTGGGGAAGGAAATGGCGTTTATGCAGATGAAGAGGGTAGTGGCTGGCGTTCTTAGGCGGTTCAAGGTGGTGCCGGCGGTGGCCGAAGGGGTGGTGCCCAACTTCATTTACTTCTTGACGTCCCAAATGGAAGGTGGGTTCCCGGTGAGGATCCAGAAAAGGGTTGGTTGACTTTGACACACATGTTTAGTACATAAACTGTTTTGCTCTTTTTGTTGGAATAAGTGCACGTAAGCTTCATTTATGTAAAATATTTTAATTCTGATTTGATTGAGGCTGGTTTACCTTGTAAGGGTCTGATTTAATTCTATTAATTTACTTAAGTTTATCAAGCTTTCCATAATTATCAAGAATTAAAATATGAGTGAGGATATTCTAACTACCAAAAACTTTTATTACTAACTTACCACCCATCACGTTACCATTGGATCAAAGAGAGAGAATGTTAAAAAGTTTTTAAAAAGAGAGAAAATGTTAATTTAATGGTGATTAGATAGGTAGTAAGTTGGTAGTGAAAATTTTTGGTAGTTAGAATATCCCTTCTCTTAATATATATATATATATATATCGATTCATTTTTTCTGTAGTCAATGTAGATAAATTATCTATTTTGAGCCCAAAACTATGTCGTTTTAGGATGAAAATCAAAATATTGTTGTAATTATAATTTATTTCAGGGTTACAATAGTCTTTCTCATTATTATCTTTTAATTTTTTAACTCAAAATGAGATCGTTTTGGTATTGAATGTAGATAATTTATCTACATTTTCACGGTAGAAATATTAAAATCTATATATATTTACATTGATTATAATTATTTCATTTTATTTTAATTAAATGTGTAGGGAGGTTTCTAAAAAACACTTCAATTTAGTGTGATTTTATGTAATTTCCCCCCAAAAAAAAGTTAACTTATAAAACCTTCTAAAAATATATCTATGATAAGTTTTTTAAGACTTGGACTTGTATTATTTTTTAAAACATTTATGTCTGGTCTAGCTTAAGGCAGGCCGGACCCGTAATCTCGTAACGTAGCTGCTGGTTAAATATACGGAATAAATGTACGGATTATTATTTCCCATAAATGTTTTAGTTTATCACAACAGTGTTTTTATGTCTTGTCTAACTTAAGGCAGGCAGGACCCGCACACATATAAACACGAAGTGTAAGTAAGCTTCATTTATCTTAAATATTTTAATTCTGATTTGATTGAGGCTGGTTTGCCGTGTAAGGGTCTGATTTAATTCTATTAATTTACTTAAGTTTATCAAACCTTCCATAATTATCAAGAATTAATATATATATTTATAATTACATTATAAAACCTTCTAAAAATAGATCTGTGATAAAAAATTTAAGACTTGGACTTGTATTATTTTTTAAAACATTTATGTCTGGTCTTAACTTAAGGCAGGCCGGACCCGTAATCTCGTGACGTAGCTGCTGGTCTAATATACGGAATAAGTGTTTCAGTTTTTCACAACAGTGTTTCAATTTTACCTCCGCACACTGATATAAGTTTTTTTTTAATACAATTAAGAATTGAACACATAAGTTAATACAATTAATCCAAATTTCACACCACTAAAGTAATTTAATACAATCTATCCAAATTTTTCACCACCGGATGAATCATAATGGCTTCGGTAAGAGGTTTTTGTACTCCAATACATTCAAATTTTTCGCATTAAATGCTTCTCGAGCACTCTTTGGTCCACGAATTGTGAGACTAGATTAATGGCAGAGGAAAAGGCTGTTTTGTACTTGTATTAAATTGTGATAGTAGGCTAATTTTTATTTTTTGAAGAATTTGATTCAAAATGATGGTGACGGTGAACTTTAACTACAAGCAGGGGGAAACAGAAAGTAAGCTATCGCTTCGTTTGTAGCCTATTTTTATCTATCCTAGGACGGGAGTTTATTCCTCTACTAAGTCTTCATTATTCCGGGAATAAGGAAGATATTTTTCCTAATATAGGGGGAGTGTTGAACTGTTCAACCTGATTTTGGATCAAAGGATGAATTTGACACACGGATTAATTCAAATTCAAGCGCCCATAACCTAGCCAGATTGTCAAAGGAAAAGTGGATGTAACACGGTAATGATACCATTCACGAACAAATCCAAGTTTAATAATATATGAATGTCCAAGCGAAAACATAAACAGGACCATCAATATGACAACCCCAGTCGCCGGGATAAAAAAAATCCTAATACAGCATATACCCAAAATATATACCCCCGAGAACTAGAACTGAATTTAAAGTTTACACAAGGCTCTTCAGCCAAAATTGATTGTAAGTTACTTAGTAGCCGTAATTGGTACCATATAAAGGGCCATAATCTGCAGAAGGCGCATAGCCTATATGACCATCAGCGCTAGAGGGTGGAGATGTATAAAGAGGAGCATTAGTTGGATAGGCATTGTAACCTGATCCCCCCATATGATCCTGTTGCGCATTTGCAGCTTCAGCCATAAAATTCTGCATCAAATAGATTGTGGGTCAATTCAGATAAATAAACTAAGGGAAAAACAAGAATCATGTTGTAGGACAATTCTCTTGTCTTGCTATAGAGACAATAAATGTGGAGTCTACCATGTTTAAAATAAAAAGAAAAGGAAAAAAAATGAAGCACAAATATCGATGTATGTGCAAATGCAACATGACAAATGCAAAACCCATAAACTAAACCAACAAAAAGCACGTTTCCAGCAACTGCTACTTCCCATATCACTCTGTAACTTCCTGAGATATGCTTTCACTGATTCTATGTTATTTGTCAATATTAAAAAAAAGGAAACTAAAAAATATAGCAAGAACTCGCATGACAATGACAATTGCAATCTTTTACAACAGCATAATTGTAATGGAATACATGAGTAGGAAGACACGCATATATATTAAAAAATTGGACTGCCAATGAGGGTTGGTACATCTGGTTGAACTTTCTGCCCAACCTAGCCATGGCTTGGGTTCAATCCTCAAGTTTCACTCTTTGGTAGGCAATATGTAATCCCACATTAAAACCCTTATTGAGGTAAGTGGCCTTTCCTGGCCTTGCAAGGAAGTGTGCTCCTTCCCCTAATCTAAACTTCTTTAACAAAAAAGAAAAAGGAAAAGATTGGAGAATGAATGACTTCAGGATTTGTACGAAGTAATCAGTTTTAGAGCTAGAATTATGTCCAATGAAATCAATAGTATTCATGGATTTACAGAAATGAATCACAAATGCTCATTTTAAGCCACTCTGTAATAGCGTTGCTACAGCCTACAAGTAATCAAAATTGTTTGAACAAACAGATACCAATTGATCATCTTTTCCTTACCAAAATTCATCAATTTATTGTCTTTGATCTGAAGAGCAAAGAAAAGTATTCATAACTAAAGATGAGTTTGAATAGCAAGAGCATGGATTATAGCTGTGCTAGTGTTGGTGTCCGAAGTAGATGAACCAGCAATCATAGTCATTACCAGCACCAGAGAATTGGGGAATGGGGACACCAATTTTAGGATGTAGTTTGTTTGCCACAGGATTAAAATCTCCATGTAAATCAATATAATTCAGGCAGTTCCCCATAAACTTTGGCACTTCGCCAACAACAATACAGGTAACAAGAAGAATACAAAATTAACCTTTAAAATCAAATACCTGAACCAGCTGTTGGGCTGCCTGTATTTGTGTAGTCGTCCCACTTATCTCGACAGTCATCTCCCCTGGCACACCCCTTGTCTCCTGAATTGTAATACTTGCTCCACTAGCACGACGTATGTAGCTGATATTTGTGCCTGATGCTCCAATAACAGCATCTGCATATGAAAGAGGAATTTGCATGTGCTGCGTGACCTACACAGTACAAAGGAAATTACATGAAATCACAATAAAACAAAATGCATTAAAAGTGAATGACAATCTCTTCGAGCATTCTCATGTTAGGCAAAGCAAAACACCTTAGTCACGGCCGATTGTTGTGGTTGCGTGCTTGACGAATGAATTCCCATAGAAGCATCCCTTGCATAGGCAGGTGGTGGACCCTGATGAAGGTGCTTGTCCATGGAAGGCAGGTCAGCAGTTGGGTAATAATTATCATAGTGATGTGAAGGCGGCATGTATTGATGATTGGGTGCAAAAGAAGGTCCACCACCAGGAGCTGGAAACCCTTGAGGAGGAGGACCCCAAGTTTGGTGTGGTGGCGCATTCTGGTTAACTCGAACATCTGGCCTCTGCATCTGAAGTTTCGAAGGATTAAGAAAAAAAATCTATTACAGGCACTGAATTATGAGCAAAGATGGTGCATATGTAACTTGAAAACAACAAAAAAGAACACACTAAAACTTTTCCATACACAAACAATATGGATGCAAAAGCCAGGAGACTGGTAATTTACATTTTACATCTTTTAGCTTTGAGGAAAGAATTAAGAAAATAAATAAAAAATCACTTACCCGCGTTTCAAATACTCCAACTATGCTGCGGTCAACCAAGAACTTACGTAAATGAATAGCAATAAGTTCAACTGCCTTGTGAACTCCAGCAGATTCCCCTTGTATTTCAACAATACTATCATCTGGCAGAGCAAAAACTGGCAGGTTTTCTGTTTTTAACAGATATAATACATAATTCAGGTACAATAAAATTTAGTAATCACAAAGTTCTACAAACAATCTAATAGTTTTCATTCAAATTTGGTTAAATCGTGTTTCTTGTATATTTGTTCATGAAGTAAAAGCTAATAAATGAGTGCAGTGTTTGACAGTAACAAACTCTACTAGCAGTATAAACCTAGTGCAACTGGGAGGGGTTGATCTAATGACAACATATGCAATAACAAAGATTGAATACAAATTGGTAGAATATGCCTAAGTCGACCCAAATAAAAGACCTCTACAGAAAGGATAATGAAAAGCAAAATGTATAGATAATTGATTGCCAACACAAGCAAAGCAACATATCCAGATGCAATTTACAAACAGAAGTGAGCAAACCTGATCCAAGAACACGTATAGTGCAACCAGAGGCATCTTGAATGGATTTTATTGTGGAGCCCTGTTTCCCAATCAAGCTTCCTGCTTGAGTATCTGCCACTAGAAGCCTGGTGACAACTGAGCATCCAGCACCATATGTGCTATCTGCATCTACATTGATAACTTGTTTATGAACCCTTAGCAAACCATCAACAGCAGGTGGTATGAGACGATCTGGCTCTTCTTTTGCAGAAACCATTACCTTTTAAAAGCACCAAAGGAAGAAAGATAATTCAGAAACACTAGTACAAAATGATGGGATCTCAAAAATACCAAAAACAGTGAATTTTCAAATTTTCAAGCATACTAATGTAATCTATTTGACCCATTAATTGATTCATCTCAATGTTCAAAACACATACTTGTTCATTATTATTGTGGTACTAGCAAGTAGCAAACAAAAACATTTGAACCCTGTGAGTCTCTTGTTCAATGAATTAGCAATTACTTTTACAATGACAAACTTCTTCTAAGAGATGTAAATAATCATTAATTAAATATTCTAAATTTTGGGAGAAATTTAATAATACAAACCATGTGACACCCAACTAATTAAATGGACCAAAACAAATTTCAAATTTATAGATTTTACTGACATGGCTTCCTGATTTCATCGGACAGTTTATGCTGCCTTTTTTTCGTTTTTATCATTCTATTTAGTTTAAGAGTGTTTCCAAGGAAATAGTTTCAGGGAGTGTGGCAAGGCACCAATCGACCAAGTTCTGAAGTTACCAGGTACGGTGAAAGCTTCTTGCAACCAAAGTCTGCACAAACTATTTCGGATTGTTAACACAAAAACAACCTTTCAGCACTTGTACATACTCATTGCTGTTTCCCTGCAACTGGAACTTTGGCTCTTCAGTTTGAAGCCACTTTGGTAATTCATATTTGCTGATAACCTGCACATATCCATTCGGTTATCGGGACAAAAGATATCTTTTTCCTATATATTTAACCCGTTAGAAAATTTATTATTTCTTGTGTTTTGCTTGATTCTTGTAAAGAACCACTTCAACCCAAAACCTTAAGGTGTTGAGTGAGGGTATTTTTAATGATTTATATTTATTCTCTAACACACCCCCTCACACAAGAGCCCTTGGAGCTTGAAGTGTGGCTAGTGCATAAGCCCAATGTTTTTGGTTTTACCTTGTGCTTATTTTAATTCCACTCGAAAGTGGGGGCGGTAAGGATTGAACTCGTGACCTTGTGATCACTTAAGCTCTGATACCATGTAAAGAACCACTTCAATCCAAAACCTTAAGGTGTTGAGTGAGGGTATTTTTAATGGTTTATATTATTCTCTAACAATTCTGAATATTTTTATAGTTTCACTTCCTTGGAAAATGTATTTTATTTAAATAAATTCTTCCATAAAGTGTTCATAAATCTGTTACAAGTTTTATCATGGATAAATTGTTAATTTCTAATTTCAAATTAATAATATAAGAAGTTTGTTTGATCAAGTAGAAGTTTTCCATATGTAATCACTAGTTACTTTCCAAAAGATATAGCTCTAATAGTTCTATGAAACCATGATGAGAATTAAAATAAACCAATTGTGTTAAAAGGGCCAAGGAGAACAATATACTACATGAACATGACAAACTTCAAACAGACAGTGATACAGCCAACACTATCCCTCACTGCATAAAATAACAACAGGGAAATTGAAAAGTAAACTCACTGCTCTTTCTGAGGTTCCAGGTGGACCATCAAGAATTTTAATTCGTGCCTTAGTCTCTTCCGTGATTTTCTTAATAAACTCTCCCTTTCGGCCAATAATGCTGCCAACCTTTTGCACCATAACCAACATCCTGAACACATTCTCTCCAGGCCACCCGGGCCACCTTTGTATCTCGTTTCCTTTGGAATCAATCTCGGATCCCTGTTCTTGCAGATGATCGAAGTTCTCTGTCACATCTCCTGTACCATAATGTTCCTCAATATGTTCTTGCTGTGGATAATCAGTGTTTCCAGGGAAACCCCCATCATCATGTTCATGTCCATCAAAACGAATTTCAGGAGGATTGACATCCTCACCCAAATTGATACCACCATGTTCATCAGGTAGCAGTTGAGGAAATCCAGAGTCATCAATCACAGTTCCCACATCATGTTCATCACAATGATTTTGTGGAAAATTGGGGTCCTCAGGCACATATCCCTCATCATGTCCATCATAATCTTCCCCAGCCATCGCACGTATATTTTCTGCAAAATTCACTCGGTTCAAATAACAATACCACCAATTGGATGGTAAACACAATCATTAAATTAAGCACTTGAAAAATCCCAATTTTTCTAAATTAATTAAAAAGTAAAAACTAGTAAACGAATAAATTATAGTTGTGAGAGATGAGATGGAGAGTGTAATGTGAAAAATTAGGGTTGTTGCGAGTACTCGTTTCATCGAACTTACATGATTCGAGAGTGAAGGAACGAGCGAATGAATATGGAGACCACGCAAAATTTAGGTTTTGCAACAAAGATAAAAGAGGGACAACAGAACAACTAGCTGTATTTATAGGGGATAGTTTAGTTCCCAGTGCATGATGTTTGAGATTCAACTTTCAAGTTTGGCGGTTTGTTTTTTCTTTTTTTTTGTTATTTGTAATTGTTTTAGTAATTTTTGTAAGAGGGATACTAAGGGAGTGTATTAGAGAGTGTTTAAAAATTCGATTCGGCAATCGACCCGGTCGAGGTCAGGGGACACGGAGTCACGGGTTCAACCGGGGGTCAAAGGGTCACTACGCTGACCCAGTTTTATATATTAAAAATTTATAAATATATATATCCTATATGAAAATATTAAAAACTAAACCACCAATCATCAAAGATCCGAAATATGCTTAACACAATTCACCAATTACAACCACAAGTCAATATTACACAACCTAATTAAAGTATCAAAACACCAAAGTACAAAACTCGTATTCTAATTGTTGGAGTATTCAAGTGTGATGAGTCCCACATTGGTTGGTAATGGACTAAGTGAAGAGTATATAAGTGGAAGGACCCATGAACCCAATGCCTTAAGGTTTTGGGTTGAGACGTGGTGTCGGACTCACTTGGTGTACTTGGAGTAACTTGGGTCATTGGTGGTGGTCTCCCGCCACGGGCTTCCCCCTGGACCCGCCTGATAGTGGTATCAGAGCCGGGTTGTGCTCGAGCTAGCCATGTGATTGGCTAGGAGGCGGGTTGAGTACTTGGGACAGGAGTACTCAGTTGAGGGGGAGATTGTTGGAGTATTCAAGTGTGAAGAGTCTCACATTAGTTGGTAATTGACTAAGTGAAGAGTATATAAGTGGAAGGACCCATGAACTCAATTCCTTAAGGTTTTGGGTTGAGACGTGGTGTTGGACTCACTTGGTGTACTTGGAGTAACTTGGCTCATTGGTGGTGGTCTCCCGCCACGAGCTTCCCCTGATACTAATAGGGTCACTATGTTGACTCGGTTCTGCCTCTTTTAAGGTCACTGACAAAGGAAAATTTCAAAGAAGTAAGAATGAGTTTTTGTTTTCCATCAACGACTATAAGGATTTCATTTGAACGGGTAAAATTCTTTCCTTTTTTAGAAGATTCACGGCATTGAGGTGAAGATTGAAGAAATCTACGTCGCTTGGAGAGAAGAGAATGATTAGATTTAGGTTTGCAAGCATTTTTATTTTATTTTATTTTAATAAAACGACGTTATTTCTTGGAATTTTTTCTAAAAAAAAAAAAACATGCAGTGACCCCCTTTGACCCCTTTGACCCGGGAGTCACTGAAACCCGACCGGGTTTTGGGGGTCGGAGGGGTCGATGTGCATATAGGGTCCAACTTGTGACCCCAACCCTCATAAGGGAGGGGTCAGGGTTGACCCGGGTCAACCCGGGGGGCGGGGCAGGGTTTTAAAACACTGGTATTAGATTGAGATTTCAAAAAAAATTAATGGATTATTTTTAGATAAAAAAATACATTGGTATTCAATTAGGATTTTAAAACTTAAAAGATTGAAAAAGAGTATTGTGGTATTCGATTATGATTTTAAAAGATTATTTTAGAGTCCGTCAAAACCGTATGCATTCAATCGAGATTTTAAACAAAGAAAAAATAATCTTGTGGTATTCAAAAATCTAACGATTTTAATGGATTGTCTATTGGTGGGATCTCGTGAGACTTTTTAGTGAGAAATATAAATAGGACGTCTCTCTCACAATCTCACCCTAACCCTAGGATTTTTTGAGATTTCTCTATTATAATGTCTTCTTCTTCCTGTGACGAGTTGACCCGCTCAAAATCGAGTTTCACCATGGGAGCTTTGTTCAAGCTCAAAAACAGCATATTCTTGTGCGATTTTTATCACAAAACAACCCAGAAATAACAAACCAACAATATTCTAATATAATCCATCTCAAAAATAGTATATTTTTTAGAGCTTTTAGAAGTTTAAAAAATAATTTTTCAAGTTATGGGTCGCGATTTTTCTTGACACAAAATGGTATGATTTTTGTATTAAAAACAACATAAAACAGTGGGAAAACAACATGGGAACGAAAACGCTCAAATCAATTTTTGTTTCACATCAATAAAACAAGATCAATTTAAAGGAGTGTTCATTTTTTCTGCGGTTACTGCAGATAAGTTATCTGCAGTAAACCCAATACGACATCGTTTTCAGGCGAAAATCATGGTGTTTTTATAATTTTAATTTAATTCAGGGTTATTATAGTCTTTATAATTATAATTTTCTAATCTTTCAATCTCAAAACGACGTCGTTTTAGAAGTAAATGCAGACAACTTATATGCATTAACTGCAGAAATATTTTTATGTTTAAAGAAATATTGAAACTTTCATAATATGAATCCTATATTTCATAATAGTTCATTCATGAACGAAATTCTTTCGCGACAGGAAATAATTTCAAACAAATTTTGTGTCAATAAATGACTAAAAACTTATTTTTTCAAAAGCCCAAGGTTTCAATGTATTGATTGAAAATAATTTGAGAAATTTTTTAAATTTTCATGTAATAAAATCCAGAAATTTGAATTTGAATTTTTTTCAGAATACTCAATGAAAACATACATATGATATATGGTTAGAAAACTATCATCACGTAAAGAAAAAACCCCAAGATTTTCAAGATCAATTGCAAAAAATTATAAACGAAATTTTATTATGAACTTTAGGTTCTTTATGCAAATTTAGAATTATTTTAATAAATAAAAAAATTTGGGTCTTATAATCATATATGCATAGCTATGATACCAAATGAATAAGATAATTTTTAACCCATTGGTTAAACCCAAGAGCAGGAACGAGAAAATGTTAATACATGAAGAACTAATATAGGTTTAGATATGTGGAGAGCTGTTACTAAATAATTTTGAACGTTTGTTAAAAATTATATTATGTTTTACTTATTGAGAAAATTATATTAGGTTTACTTTTTTATTAATATCATTGCATTTCTTTATTAATTTTTTATTTACTCTTGTAATTTTGAATGTTTGTTAAAAATTCATATGATTTTTTGAAATCTTATAAATCCATATTATCTTTTCAAATCTTATAAATTCTATTAATTTTTTTTAAAATCCAATCTTATGAAATCTTGATGGTAAAAAAAGTCTTTTAAAGTCCTTCGAATTCTATATAGACTTTTAAAATCTATAAGATTTTTATCTCAAAAAAATCTTTTAAAATTCCAATCCAATACACCTCTTAACTCTCATGTTATATGAGAGTAGTTCTCTATTGAGAGAATCTAAGTGAGACCCACCACCAATAAAAAGCAAAAAAAAGATGCGATTTTCGAAGTGAGAGAACATGAGATAAATATCTCATGTAAAATGAGAATAATATTTTCCTTTTTTAAATTCTAATTTTATACCAACTCAATATATGCTACTCGAGAATATTATATATTAATGTAATTTTAAATGGTAAATAGGAAAAAAACTGAAAATAATAATAATTATGAAACCAAAACATGGTGAGAAGAATAAACATTAATGAATAAAATTATTTTAAAATGATTAGCCTTTAATTTAATTAAAGTGTTTCGTGATTTCATTATTAAAATTTGATAATATTTACTTTATAAACAAAATCACCATAAAATAAAAGGAAAAACTATTCTTGTGTTGTTGAGAGAAGCTCTCTTTCCTACATATCTATCGATTATCGTATATCTCATTTTTTATTTTTTATAAGTGAGTGGGTCTCATCCATGATTGTGTCTATGGTAAGAAAGAACTACTCTTCTACAATATGTGATTAGTTGAGAGTAGCTATCTTTTCTATATATCTATCGATTATCGTATACCTCAATTTTTAGTTTTTTATAAGTAAGTGAGTCTCACCCATGATTATGTCTATGATAAGAAAGAACTACTCTTCTACGATATGAGATTAATAAAGCCCTAAAATAAAAGCTTTTTATAACATTTATATCATCAAACAGGATTACTTATTACAAATTATGGTTATGCGGAAGATATTTGGAAGACTCTCTTTAGAACAAATTCACAGAGAACCACTTCCATCACCGTATAAAGAAGATCGGTGTCATGTTTAAGGCCACGAGAACGTCGAATGTAACAAATGACAACCGAAGTGGGGAGTGTAATTTCTGACAAAGAAAAAGGTATAAGGGGGCGTTTGGTTGAAGATAAATTTTAAGAATACTAGAGAAATGTAATTACTAGGTATCCAGAGGGAAAATTGAATAGATGGGGAAGTTAAAAAAAAGTAGTTTGGTTTGACAAAATTTTACCAGGGAAATATATGACAAAAAGTGTGTCAACAGTGCTTTACCCGGGTTTTCTCAAAAAATCACCCTCAAATCGGGTTTCTAAACAGTGTAAATTACTATCTTTCTCAAAAAGTCAGGCATTTCACATAGATGGGTTTCTCAAAAAACCTGTTGAACCAAACATTGATTTTCTAAAAATCAAACTTCATTTACCTAGAAAAATCTCAAAATGCCTCCAACCAAACGTCCCCTGAAAGCCTTTTTATTTTTATGTTTTTCCACTTGTCTATTTTCAAATAGTTGCATCATAGGGCTTTTGTCTTGTGAACTTACAATTGGGCTTTGTTCGTCTAATAAAACACCCAGGGTGGGCTCACCTCATAAGGCCCGGTGAACTAGACTATACTTCCTTGCAGTTGCAGCTTATTTGTTGTTTCAACTTCTTGCGGGCTTAGAACTAACAAGTACTGGCGGGTTAGGAGTGCTTACAAAAATATGGTCCAGTAGCTCAATGCTCCACCTAATGGGCAGTGGCAAGAGCACCGTGCTCAAGGATATTTTATTGGAAAGAAAGGAATTTCTCATTATTACACAATCGTTAGGTTACAAGGGATGCCCTTATATTTATAGGGCCAAAAAAAAAGCTATAGATGCAGGCTAAGA